AACAATACGGACTCAGCATCCTACATTTGCAATAACGTATGAAGTATCAACATATTTAATAAGATCTATACCCACTATCCAATTTTTTCCACTTATTCTATGAAATCCAGTGCTTAAAATTTAATTTTAACACTCCTAGACGAGCTTGGCATTGAGTTTGAGAAAGGGTAATATTATTTAGTACTATTGGTGTTAAAACACCAGTTTAAGTGGATTACTGTATACTGCTGCCAATCCAAGAATTTTTAAGATTGGTTCAGTCCCACAACCACCATTTATCTGTTACATTCTCCATGTATAGCAACATGAGGGGAGAAAGCAGAAACAGATTTACAATTCAGTCAATAAAGGAGATGTATACCATCTACGACAATCTTGAAAATATATGGGAGTTAGTACGAAAATTACAAGGGAGAAACATCTACCATATAGCTAAACAGACAGCAACTGATACAACAACAAATTACAGACAGGTTTCTAACTAGGTACAAAATCTGTTTATCCAATTTCTACATCTCTTTCAACAACTGTTTGAGCCTCTTGATCAGAACCCGGGTTGTCCTTCCTGCTGTTAAAAGACTTCTGGCTTAATATCCTAGCAAACATGCTTTTTGACCTAGGCACTGTTTGAGGCCTACTGCTGCTCGATTTTGAGTTCTCGCCATTCTTCTTAGCGAGCTCTAGTAAAATGATTTCCATACTATCATCAAAACGACGCCTAAATGTTGGATATCTTGTTATAGACTTAGTTATCCCTTGAAGTCTTGATGAGAACAAAGATATGGAAATCAGAACTGAAAGAAAAATCATAAATAACAGTAACAGGAAAAAAAAAAAAAATCAATTTTACCTTCGAGCTAATGCATCAAGTTCAGCTCGTCTTAGCTCAGATTCAGGTGGTGGGCCGATATTTGAATTCTTTAACCGTGCAGGATCGCTACTCAATAAAACTAATTTGCCAAGGTATTCCTCCTCGACCTCAGAAAGGTTGCCAGCTTTAATCTGGTCTTTAATGATTAATAGTGGATTAAGAAACCAATCGAAGAATGTATCCTTTGGCCGATTTGAGGTAGTTATTTCTGTATTGTCATCTGCACAAGGGAGAGAAATTTTAAACAAATTGCTTCCTCAACACAACATAGACTACTGAGATGGGAGGAAAAAAGGATTAAAGGACAGCTTCCACTTACTTAGCAATATACCAGTGGAATTAGATTTTACAGAGTGCAGAAGTGCCTGAAAAAGGCAATAAGCAGGTAAACCAATACTTATCACCTTTCCACTTCCTTTCTTATTCTTAGCATCTTCAATATCTTTTAGGGTTATTATCCCTTTAGAAACCATAATTTCCCCATGGCGTTGACACTCCTCAAATAAGGAATCGGCAAACTACAACAATCATAGTGCTCATCAGCGCCAATACAAGAAATAAATGTTAAAGTCATATATTGCAATTGCTTCACAAACTATAATTTGCTAAGGTGTATTAGAAGCATTAGACAGCATTAACATAGAAAAAGAAGCTAAATTTATTGTGCTGTCCAGTAAGCGTACCTCGAGGGGCTTCAACTCAATCATAGGTGCAGGAAGAGAACTTGTACGAGATGGTGGCTTTTTGAAAGAGCTGGGCCTTGAGAAAGAAGTGGAACGAGAGTTTGTTCGTGATGGAGCCTTGTTCGTGTAACGTGGTCTGCAGGAATGGCACAAAGACGATTTCATCCAGTGTAGCCTATTATAAGTTGATATTCTGAAGAATAACGTGTATTAAGCATAATGCAAGGCAAAAGTTGGAACCTTGGAAAGCAGGATCCTTCAGCCATGTCTAAAACATCATTGCTGTATTCGTCATAAATGGACAATGAAGCGACAATATAACAAAGTCCAAACCAAATAGAGCACTCCTACCATCAAAAGCCAACACCAGAATTTTAGCAGAAGCAAAAGCAATTCAAATGAAAATTGGTGAGGCAAATCTACTGGATTTTTCCCTAGAGAATTGATTTTCATATTTTTTGCTTTTGTAAATGACTTTATTTCTTTTTTTTTTTTTCGGGGCGGAGTGAAAAGGAAAGGCAATTCGACCTGATACACTATTACGGCTGCATAAGCGCCCAAGAAGATACTTGAAACCATAGAACCCAAAACCGCCCCAACAACGGCAAACGGCCAGAGTAAAATTGCTAGTCCTGCAAATGGCACACATATTGTTTCCAAGAATGGCCCCTCTCGACCTATACAATCATGAAACAGACGATGCCAACCCTTGAAAAACATGCAAGGGCTTTTGCAGAAGGCAATAATCGAGATCACTGGTAGATCAACCATAGCTCCAAGAACTCCAATTATAAGAGCTAAAGGAAGATAGAGCAACCTGCAACACAGCACAAGAATCATTAAGTTGAACGAAAATATTATAAAATCGAATACCAGATTCAAGTGCAAGGTAATGGAACAAACTACCTCCATCATTTAGGTTGCTATGGTAAAAGACTAAAAGTTAGCGCCGGAGCAACTTTACAATATTACACCAAACCAAGGATAACGTACAAATTTTTTTTGGAATGTAAGAAACACAAAACCAAAATATGCTGAAAAAGTAAAGGGCAAAAATTAATAGAAAATCAACTAAGTCAGAACCTTCTGTGATCTCTAGAAAATTTACAAGTTGAACCCCCAACATAAAAGTCCGTAACATTGCATGGAAAGGTATATTCCTGAAGGTATAAGGAAACTATTTTTTTCTACTTTCATTTGTCTTGGTGTAAACCTGGAACAACCTCGAACTTTCAAGTAAAACGATGTCTAATTCAAAATCGGAGAATAAATATATCTCTATGCTTATCTAAGACTTTGGCTAGCACCGAAAAATGGAGTTTGCAACCGAATGGGTAAGCAAGGAACACAATGAGAAAGACCATAAACAAACCTAATTTCATAATATTTTCCTTCGGACAGTAGATCATCCATAATTGAAAAGTATGAATGGTAACAAACATCCATAAAATCCCTAATGACAGTGAAGCTCCCTTTGCCCATCTCCCAAGTTCCATCCTGCAAGCATGATCAAA